CTGAAGTAGACTCTGAAGGAGAAGTTATTCAGTGTGCAATGTTAGTAAGACTCTGAACCCGTGAGTACGAAAGAGGCTCTTAAGCAACAAGTCTGGTTGCAGGCCATGAAAGAAGAACTTGATGCTATAGAGAGAAACAAGACTTGGAAGCTGACTGAACTTCTAAAAGGCAAGAAAGCCATCAGCGTTAGATGGGTTTTCAAGCAGAAGCTAAAGCCAAATGGATCAATTGGCAAACAAAAAGCAATATTAGTAGCTAGAGGCTTTCTACAGAAACTTGAGCTGGATTACTTTGAAGTGTTTGTACCTGTAGCGAGACATGAAACAATCAGACTAGTAATTGCAATAGCTGCTAACAGGAATTGGCCTCTGATGTCTTTAGATGTAAAATCTACATTTCTGAATGGTACATTACAAGAAGAGGTGTACGTCTCACAACCTCCTGGATTTAAGAAAAAGAATCAGGAAGGGATGGTGTTCAAATTACACAAAGCATTGTATGGATTGAAGCAAGCGCCCAGAGCTTGGAATTTGAAGATTGATTAGTTTTTCAAGGAACAAGGGTTTCAGAAGTGTGAGATGGAGTATGGTGTTTATGTTCAACATACTTCAGAAGGTAATATGATTTCGGTCTATTTATATGTTGATGACATATTACTCACAGGAAGTTCTGAACAAGAGATAACTGAGTTTAAGAAAGTTCTGATGAATGCATTTGAGATGACAAATCTTGGAAAAATGAGTTTCTTTCTAGGGATGGAATTTATGTACTCTGAGAAAGGAATCATTTTGCATCAGATGAAGTATGAACTAGAGCTTCTAAAGAGATTTGAGCTAGAAAATTGCAAAGTTGCTATCACACCTGCTGATACAAATCAGAAGTTGGACTCTGATTCTGATGGAGAGGATGTGGATGCTACAAGCTTCAAACAGATGGTTGGTTCTCTAAGGTATTTGTGTAATACCATACCTGATATTTGCTATGCAGTTGAAATGGTTAGCAGATTTATGAGAAAACCAAAGTGATCTCATTACCAAGCTGCAGTCAGAATTCTGAGGTATGTGAAGGGAACTCTGAAATATGGAGTGTTATTTTCGTCTGAAAGAAAGATTGAATAAGAACTTCTGAGTTATTCTGATTTTGATTGGTGCGGAGATAGAGTTGACAGAAGAAGTACTTTTGGGTACTTATTCAAATTTCTGGGAGATCATGTTTCTTGGTGTTCCAAGAAACAACATGTTGTTGCACTGTTAACTTGTGAAGCTGAATATATTGCAGGCGCTCTGACTGCATGTCAAGCTGTGTGGATTCTGAACTTGCTGAAAGATCTGAAGATTGAGGTAAATGAACCTCTGAAGCTGATGATTGATAACAAGTCTGCAATCAATCTTGTCAAGAATTCAGTGTTGCATGGGAGAAGCAAGCATATTGAGACCAAATATCATTTTCTGAGGAATCAAGTTCAGAATAAAAAATTAAAAGTTGTGCACTATAACACCCAGAAGCAGCTGACAGATATTCTGATAAAGACTATCAAAACTGATCAATTTCTTGGTTTAAGGGATGAAATTGGTGTTGTCAGTTTTGAATAAATATAAATTAAAGGACGGTGTTAGAATTAATTTAGATTTTATAATTAATTAAATATTAATTTGTATTTAAGAATATCTTTTAGATCTTCTTATATTTTTGTTAGAAGATATATTTTAGACTTAATTTTGTGTATAAATAGTCTAGTGAAGTATGTTATTGTAATTCATTGTAAATCCTTATTTTGAAACTGTCAGTAAATATTCCTTTTGCCTTTTATCTCTTCCTTGTGATATATATATATATATATATATATATATATATATATATATATATATATATATATATATATATATATATATATATATATATATATATATATATATATATATATATATATATATATATATATATATATATATATATATATATATATATATATATATATATATATATATATATATATATATATATATATATATATATATATATATATATATATATATATATATATATATATATATATATATATATATATATATATATATATATATATATATATATATATATAATGTTACTAATGAGTTTTTTTTTCAATTATTGGTTTTGTAACTATTTATAAGTGAAAGTTCATAATTTTATATTTATTTAAAAATTTAAATTTTTGTATCTCTTTTAAAATATGCTTTTAGAGAAGATATAAAATCAATTTTAATTAGTTATTGTTTATAGAAAAAAATTGAGAAAAAGCAAATTAATTATAAATAATATTTTATTTTATCTTTAAAAAATATATTTTTTTAATAAAATGTTCAAGTGAAATATTTTTTTATTTATAATTTGTAACCAAAATAATATGCATTTTTTTCTTATAAATTGTTAGCTAGAGGGGAGTGGAATACTTATTCGTCATAATTATATAATGATACTTAGCAATCATATGTTTGTTTATTTATCCATATTTGTTTGTGATTATATAAGTAGAATAAAGTAAGCGTGTTTAAACTTTAATCAAACCTAGTTCTAGTTTCTATTTAGAGATTTTTTTTAACACTTAGTATACTTTTTTTAGACTTTTTGTAAAATTTCTTAAATATCTACAGATTTTGGAGACGCATCGAAAGTATCATATTTGATAAAAACAAGTGTGCTCACATGTGTATCTTTGAAATCATTTTATTTTGTTAAAAAAGGTGATTTCAGAGTTGTTATTTTCAAAACAACGAACAAAACACAACTCTTTCATTCAAACACAAAATCTTAACTTTTCTACACCAAAATCCTTCATTTCTACTATCCAAACTTTGTTTCTCAAATTCATTTCTACTCATCTCCTCATTTCAGCTCTAATCAAGTCATTCTAACTCATCCCCAAGACTTTAATTTTGTGTAAGTTTTCTCCACTTCATTTTCATTTGATTCATCATACAATGTTATAATAGTTTATTAGGTTAGTTAGAATCAATAACATTGTATAAGTTGCTGTTAGAATAGTTTAATTTTGGTATTTGGATGACATAAAAATGGTATTAGGATGATTTAGAGCAAGAAGAAACTGTTAGTCGATAATGGTTATTCGCATGAAGTTTCAGAAGTGCATATCAGAAATCCCCCTGAACCAATTTCAAATGTGCATATAATTCTTGCCTGAGTTATTTATTTTTAATTAACAATTTAATTTAATTTTTCAAGAATATGGCGGACCAAAACGATCATTTGAGACAAGAACGATTGCATTTTTTTTCTTTTTTTACAGGAACAGTTGTCGATTAAGTTCGTGAATCATTCACGAAAAATATTTAAATTGTTTGTGCCTGGGGCCACTTGGTTCCACGAGACCATTGTTGAATCCAGACTTATCAGATTATGTTATACTGGTTACTCAACTATAAGCCACAACATGCAGGGGGCACTTGCAGAGGGGTGGCACAACGAGATGTCATCTTTCCACTTTCCTGTTGGAGAGATGACAATCACACTTGATGATATTGCTTGCTTGATGACATCGAAAGGGGTGGTCCCGAGGCGGTTGCCATGTTGAGAGGATGGTTAGGGAGGCTTCCAGTACGGCGCATTACAGTAGGCAGAGGATGTCACAGAGGGTGATGATCAGGCATACGCAGTAGCAATACCTTATGTTATGTCTTATTTTATGTTTTGAATGTAACATTACACACTTTTCGAACAACTTATGTACTATATTATATTTCCGTTTGTCTGAACATCTAATTTAATCGTTATGTCCGTATTATTATCTTTGTGTTTGATACTTTCAATATAATCCTAAGAAAAAGTAGTCCATTTTGAAGGAATAGATAATGATGTTGATTTAAACAAGAATGAAACAAACATAGGAAGTTTCGAAAATACGTATCTGAAACAACATCTACATATATTTCAGATATACATTTTCGAAACACCCATTGAAATTTAAAATCTAAACATTTAAATATTAAAACATGAAAATATAATGTCTTCAAAAATACACATAAAAAATATATTGATAAGTGAATTCGAAAATACATAATTGAAAGATATTTTTGAATTATCAACAATAAAAATCATTACTATTAAATGGAGAAAGAAATTCTCTTCTATTTAATCATACTTACAACTCAACTTCACCTTTTAAAACTAAAAATTAAAGTGAGAAAGTGGCTTCTCAAGTCACATCCCATGTGGAATTAAATATTAATTACGACTTTCGAATTTCAATGGCAAAAAAGCACTAAATAATTAAAATCGTACTCCTTCCCTACTACTTTTTCCCTTATTTTCTTGGGGACCTTAGAAAACGAGCAAAATCTTTTTGTTTTCTTTCACCGTATCCGAATAAAAGGAATTTCAAAAAGAGTGTAAGACAGCTTTTACATTTCCAATCACTTTTTTCATTCAAATCAAAATTAAAATTTTTTTAAATAGAAAATAAAAACCCATCCCAATCCTTTTCAAATTCACTTCATCAAATTCAAATCACAGAAAAAAATCATTCCTATTTTTCATTCAACAAAGAAAAAAGCTGGCATTTTCCATAAACAATACAAGTTCACTTTTTATAGGTCTTTTCACAATTTTATCTCCACATTTGTTATTATACTTGTTTGTCAGCATATCCATTCTTGGAACACAATTACAAAAAAGTAAAAAAGAAAATTAAAAAACAATTAAGGTTTAATTCATACAACGAGGACCATAATCTTCCCATAATACATATAGTAATTGAAATCACAAAATTTTTAAACATGTTTATAAGTGTGAAAGAAGCAAAGAAATAAGTTAAAGAACTAAAACTGAGTAGTACTAAATTGATGAGTAGCAAATGGAATATCATACATTGGAAGTGAGTTAGAAAAACTAAACTAAGGTAAACAAAAACATAATACATAGTACTAACATAGATTAAAAAAACAAAAATAATTAATAATAATAATAATAAGATAATTATTCTTACTATTTAGTTTCTTATTTCTCAAAGCCAGTCAGAGAAAAGTGCTTCCCAAATCTCAGTGTAAACTTCAACAATGATCTTGTGATGATGATACGAATTCAACGACAGAAAACAGTGTAAAAGATTCTCCAAATCACTAGGTGAAAATATTTGTTTCTCAACGATCATCTCCACCATGGAAGTTCTAAAGTCACTGTACGGATCACTCGAGCGTTTCACCACCGCGAACGTGTCTTTGACTTTTCCGTTCAACGGAAGAACACCCATGTCGGAACTCCGGTTGGGTTTCCGGCAAGAGGTTTTTCGACGGCGAGACTTTGAGGAGTCGGAAGAGAGAGACTTTGATGAGAAAAGTGTGTCGGTTTCGTCGTCTTCGTCGGTGCTGTACCACCAGTAGCTATCAAAGTTTGTGTCTTTTGCACATGAATTGAACGGAAAGGTTCTGTTTTTCTTCTTGGTTTGTGTTTGTTTCTTCTTCTTCGTTCTATTTTTCTTCTTTTTCGTTTTCGTTTTGTCTATGACGGTTTTTGATGATGCGTTGGTTTCTTCGTAGAAACCGAAGTTGTTTTTGTTGTTGTTGTTGTGTTCATCGTTGAATGTAGTGTTGTTTGGTGAACATGATTTTCTGTCGAGTTTAAGGTTGTTGTCGTTGTTGTTGTTATTGCTATTTGCACCGCAGAGAAATGGTGATGATGAACAAGTAGAGACTTTGCTACGTGGAAGAGAATGAGGAAGGTTAAACGACATGTCGTCGATGGTTTTTTGAGAGGGTTTGGATTTGGGACTGGGGTGGAAGGGTAGTAATGTTTTGGAAGGGATGTGGTTGTTAGGGGGTGCAAATAGTGGTTTTTCCATAACATCAGATACATGTTGTCGGGTTTTGCAGGAACCGAATGAGGATCGGAACATGCGAGAGATTCGCATTTTCAGACGGTTTTGGTTTTCCATGAGAGAGAGTGTTTTGGTTGAAATTTGAAGAATGAAGAAAATGGAGAGGGAGATATAAATGCATGAAAAACCGAAAAGGCAGTTTGGTAGATTTATATCGGATGAGAATGTAAAATTATTTTATACCTCTTACTGCATATAAATTAAATCTTTAATAAGAGAGAAAAGATAAATTTTACACGGTGCATATAAATTAAATCTTATTAATAATACTGCTTAATTTGAAAATGAAAAGATAAAGTTTAATTTAATTTATGAAAATTTTAATTTTCTTGTCTTTTTGTTGGTTCTGAATTGGGCAGTGAAAGAATCAATGAGAGAAATTTGATTTTGTAAACAGTGGAAATTGACCTTGTTCTGCCTTTAATCGTGCGTGTCTACCGCGTCGGGTTTTTCTATCTTCTTTTTTTACATTTCATAGTCTACGGATCCTCTTCCTTTCAATTCTTTATTTTTTCTAACTTTTTTTTTATTTCTCTTATGAATTATTTTCTTTTACATATTTTTCTTTTTAAAATAAATATCATTTATTTTTTATTTTATTCATTTTTTTTAATCTAAAGTCATTAAAACTAATTAGAGGATTTTTTTTCCTACAAAAGAGTGTTAAGAAAGATGAGAAATTTTTTGTTAAAAATATAAAAGAGATAAAAAAAATTGTGATATAGATAAAATAAAGGATAAAAATAATAAGAGAGTTTTGAAACGCCAAAAAAAAGTATTAGGAATTATTTTCTCTGTTTTAAAATAAGTGTCATATTAAAAAAAAAGAAGACTATTTCAAAATACTTATTATTTTAGATTTTCCATACAATTTTATATTTAATTTTTCTATTGTGTCATCTAATAAATACACTTAATTTATTATTTTCTTACTTAATATTAATATTATTTTGAATACACTAATAATTTATTCAGATAATTCGATAAAATTATTATTCTCTTATTTATTTATTATTATTTTTTAATCAATATAAAATATTTTATTATAAAAATAATATGAGACGGAAGGATAGACTCTATTTAGTAATGCTAGAAAGCAATGGATATCTGTTTTATAGTGGATAACTTTATAATTAATCACTTTTAAAATAATTGATATAGTATATAATTAATAAGTTAGTAGGTTGAATGTGTAGTGTTTTATAAAATTTATAGTTAAATTAGTTTATAAATATAAAATAATATATAAAAAAATTATAATTTTAAAAATTAAAATTATACGAATAAAATTGTAAAAACATAAGTGTAGTGTATTTTAAGAAAAATTGTTATATTTGATTTCAAGAAAAGTTAGAAATCGTAAACATTTTCAAGACAAAAAGGTGAAATTGCAAAGTATTCATAGTCAAATGAAGTAAAGCCAAAAATAGTATTGAGAAGGATGAATGAAAAACACAAGTAAGTAATAATACGTGGCAGGCGAGGAATTTTGACAGGTTTAGAGGTAAATTTCCTCGCACAATAAACAAAATCAAAGATCAGATTGTGCTCATTAGGACAAACTCAACAACTAGTGCTTCATCTTTTATGAATGATTTCCAAATCATCAAAGCCTTCAAGCTTGCTGTTAGACCCATGCAATTGTGAAGGAGCTTACCACCATGATTCTCTCCCTGCCAATATATTTTATACCCTTTAGCCATAATCACTCTACCATGAGAAATCTTCAATACCCTATGTTCAATTCTAGTGTAGTAGCCTAAATCATCATACATATTTATGAACAACTAATTATGCCTAAGCTCGGGATCATACCTCACATTACGTAGAAGGAATTCATGATCAAATAATATTTAAAGTTTGGTCATCCAAATCCATGAACTTGCAAGCTTGACTGTTACCGAGTCGAACGACTTCAACATTTTCCAACTTCAAAGTCTTAAACTATTTTTTCCTTGGGAAATATATGATAAGATCATCTTGAGTCCAAGACCTAAATCTTTTTAGTTTTCAAATTTGACATCACTAGTGCACCCACAATCATATAACTATCCTTATCTAAGACCATTGCCTCTTAGCAAAATCTCCATTGATGTGCCTCTTTGGACAATCCTTTTTAAAATGACTGATTTTTTGATAAATAATATATTTTAACTTTGACTTATCAAACCTCTTGGATTCGAACATCCATATACACCCACCTCTTACTCTTTAGACATTCAAGTATTCACCACTATCAGCAATCTTCAAAATTTTCACCTTGAAAAATTTCTTAGATCTCAAAGTCGTTTGAACTTCATCCAAAGTAATAATACAATCCCCACCATGAAAAAGGGCACCCTTGAATTTCTCAAAAGATATGATAAATAAGCTTAATAAGAATATAGTTTTATCCTCATCATCAATCTTCACCTCAATAATATTCAAATCATTAACGATATTGTGAAATTTCCCGAACTTCTCAAATATGAATTTGTTATCTACCAATTGAAATGAGTGGAGTTGTTGTTTCAGACACAACCAGTGAACCAAGTATTTAGTCATATACAATAATTCAATATTTGCCCACATCGAAGTTGAAGTATTCTGCTTGTCGACTTCCCTTAGAACTTTATTCCCGAGACATAAGATAATGATACTTTAGCTTTATTAATTATCTTGTTCTTCTTTGTTTGTGTTACGCGTGCATGTATCGATAAGATTGCTTGCATATTCACTTACCACAACTCAAAATCATTATTTCTGAAAAACTTCTCGATATCTCATTTAAAATCTATAGTGCTCACTTGTAAACTTAAATTTTTTGTTCCACAAATGATGTCACTTGTAGTGAAAATGAAAGGTGCAACCACACCCAAGACCTTCTTGTTGTGAAATACCGTGACAAAAAATAAAGGTAATCAAACTAAATAGCTTCAAACAAAAATTAACTTGTCAAATAGTATAAGTAAGAGAAAAATAAAAGATAAATACACAAAAAAATTGTTTATCTTGTTCGATCAAATCAGCCTCTCTCATGTAACAAATAATAAGTAGCAGGTAAATTGAATATTAAAAACATATTCCACCGTCTCATAAAAGTGATTTATTTATACTTTTTCTCTATCTCAATAATTATTGTCATTTTTACAATACCAATACATCATTTATTATTACTTTTACATTACTATATTCTTATTTATTACTTTTTATTTTATTCAACTATTCTATTAACTACAATTAATAAAAATATTCTAGTAAATAATATTAGTTTTATTATTAAAATCAACACATTTAACTATTTTTTAAGAATCAAATATTGCTTAAATATGACACTTTTATGAAACGGAGGGAGAATTATTTTCATAATCACTATCAAAATAATCTATCAACTTAATAGAAATATTTTACTTATTGTGTTGGATTGATTAAACTTAATATGAAGAAATGTTTAATAATATGTTTCTGAAAAAAAAATATGAATTTAATAAGTTGATACCCACCATATATATTGAGGTGTATCTTGTAAGTATAGCTTGGTGGCGTATAACAGAATTCAAATTTATTGTGTAAAATTTATATCACATTGTCCTTTTTTAATTTTTGGTCTAGCTTCAAAACTATTGGGTGTATGAGTGAAGCTCTGAAAAGCTTAAAACGTCCTGAATAAGTACCAACACAAGAGCATGGGCAAGACTTACTCCACAAGCACCATTCTCATTTGTCCACAACTATAAAGCTTTGCCACTTTGTACATCTTCATTGTACTATGCTAATACATTTTATAATTTTTTTATTTAAAAATTCATTGAATGATTGATTAATTTAGTGTATACTTTAACCATTATTGGTGCAGAATTTAAACAAAACAAGTTTGTACTCATTAGGTAAGTTTGGGTCTAAATGTTTTGAAATTGATTACTATTAGTAAAGTAATTGACGAATTGTACTGATTGGTTAAGTACTAAAAAGAAATGACCCATTGCAATATTACTGTGATTTGTAGGGGACCAGACCATGATCAAGACTCTAATTGGACTAGTTCAAGGCGCTTAATCATGTTTGAAATTCAAATAAAATAGTAAGATTAGCCTAGCCTTTTCAACATGAGGTTAAGAATCTTAACCTAGACTTGATTGTTCTACACAGTCCCGTGATAGATTTGGACAATTGGTAGTAGGACTATTATAGAAAAGATTTACTTTGAAATAAAAAACAACACTAGAGTTAATTTCTCCTCCTTTTCATATTTATTTCTTGATGTGAGGGAAATTAGTTAGCCTCAAAAACATGCATGGCCAATACAATCTAATAATGGAAAATGACAATTCAGCATTTCATTTCAAAAAGTAAATTAGTTACATGCTCACATTTATATTGAGCTTCACCCAATAGTAATGGTTCTTATAAGATAAACTATTTTTAACAAACTTGTAATTAATTGTAATTAACCAAAAATATATTTAATCTATGTTAACTCTAGTCTCAACGAAGAAAACAACTTATATCTCTCTTACTCCCACGTAAAATTAAGACGGATTTAAACAAATTACTTTAAATTTGGTCCCACATAAAGAAAAAATAGAGTTTAGTGAGAATGGACTAAGCCATTTAAAATATTAGAGATTATGAATTATAATATTAAAATTTGATAAAATAGAAAATATTTTTAGAAGAATTTAAATGAAGTGATACGAGAAAATAAAAGGACAAAAGATAAGAAAAGAACACATTAAATTTATTCTGGCTTGACTTAAAACTACGAGGACTATGTCCATTCCTCAAAGATGTAGTACATTGTGATAACCACTAACAATTTCTTTTACACCAAATTTTATATTAGATTTAGTTTGCAACCTCTAACCACTTTCACTACGATTATCTTAAATCCTAACTGATTTGGGCGTTGAAGGGCTAATCATGCAAGCACCCCTAGGTCCACCACACTGGAGGTCAAAGACACCACTTCAAGATAAACACCTTCGATTCCACAAGCATCATGATTGTGACCTTTGGGTCGAGACGCCCATCCCGAGAATCGATGGTGAATCTTCACTCTGTCGTAGCTTCCACAATAT